CGAGTCATCCTCGATCTCAACTTCTGCAAGTCATAGCTAACCCACAAGTATGCCTCATACCAAAATTAAAATTTAACACCTAACCATGAAATCAAATTGTCAATATCAGACTCCCCCATTTGGCTCAAAGCCATAGATTAAAACATTCCATAACTCACAATACTAATACTCTCTTATTGACATAATGCCACAGTCAGTCCAAAGAAACTTTTTCCCAAGTTCATACAACGCCAACCATAAAAATACCTCAATCATCCGCTAAGCTCGTATTCATTCTCTCAACACACAAGTCAACTTTCTCAACCAGATTCAGATTCAAATCTCCACCCATACACCCCGTAGGCAGAAAAGAAACTCTCCACTCACATCATAAGAAATACTCCTACATAGATTACTCCACAGGGGATAATCCACCTGCTTAGCCTCAATCTGGTATCTTGTTATATCTTTTCGCAGTCACAATTACTATGCAATCACTTAGTCAATCTGCGTCCAAACTCATTACCCAGACATGAGAATTTAATTTACCCCAAAATTTAACAATATAAAAGATCCTTCAAAACATTCATACTCGAGACTGTACGTCACATTAAAACGAAAATCAAGCACCCAATGGCCATTTCTTTACATTTCAAGGAAACACTTCTCGTCACATTCAAATCATCTTAACACATCCCCGCGGTCACATCATACCCATCATACCGCCATTCCACCGTTCATCGAGCCACAAATTCCAATGTAGGGTCATTACCGGACATATGAATCTAAATGTACAAGTTACAACTGAAGCTATCGAGCCTAAGCTGCGGTCTAAACCTGGCCTCAAGTCCTCAAGACTGGCCCATCACCAAAATACAGAATACTCACTTCGAACCTCATTCATAGAATCACAATCCGGCAATGCAAAGCTGATACTGAGCGCTTATGTGCGCATACGAATGTGTGGAAGGAATTCAAAGAGTTTCTATCTCAAGCTGAATCAATCTCGCACGATAAGGAAAGAAAAATGGGAAGTATATATCCTAAATGCCCTGTAGCCTCTCGAAGATAAGTGTGGACGTCATCATACCGATCCGTAAGACTCTACTGGACACTTGCTCATGACTTGTAGAACCTATGAACCTAGAGCTCTGATACCACCTTGTCACGACCCAAAATCCAACTAGTCGTGATGGCACCTAACCCAACCCGCTAGGTAAGCCAACTTTCAACTATCCAATTCCAATAACAATTATTGAAGAAATTTAAGTAAATAATTATCTTAACTTTATACATTCCCCAAGAACTGGTAGTACAAATCATGAGCTTCTAAGAATAGAATATACAAAGCGGAAATGAAATAATACATAGTCTATTTTAATAATACATAAACAGAGCTTTCATAAATCTAAGGCTACCCTGAACAAGAGGCAGCTATAACAGGAACGTAGGTACATCTTCAAGTCCCGCAACCATTGAGCACAGCAACAACATCAGCCAACATCTGCACGCAATGTGCAGAAGTGTAGTATCAGTACAACTGACCCCATGTACTGAGTAAGTAACAAACCTAGTCGCAGGTTGAAAGTAGTGACGAGCTTCCACCAAGGTCGGGTCCAAAACCAATAGTCCATAATAATCTATTACAACATAAAGCAAATAATGCGAGAAGTAACTCAGGGATAAAATACCCAGCCAAATCATGATTTCAAAAATAGTAGTTATTTCTTTCAAATACATTTGTGAAAAAAAACCAAATCGTTTGCTGGAGTTGCCAAAAATATGAATAGTTTGAAAACAATAAATTTCTCCCAAATTCTTGTCAATAATAAATAAGATGTTTTATTTTCCTTCCGGACAACCCGTGTAAAAACAAATGCATCAATATGCCCATCTGTTAACAATGTGTGAAAAATCATGAATGATGTGATGCAGTACAGCACGAGGAAATACATCTTTATGCATGTATGTCATGTGTGCATGCCAATGCAATGCAACTCAATGAGAAGATCATAAACAGTCCTTCGGGAAGAACATCACTCATATACAACCCCTCGGGCAAAACCTCGCAGTCACTCGTGCCACACGGGCATACCTCACAATCACTCTTGCCACTCGGGCATACCTCACAATCACTCATGCCTCCCAGTCACTCAGCACTCGGCACTCGGCACTCGCACTCAGTAGGTACCTATGCTCACTGGGGGTGTGTACAGACTCCGGAGGGGATCCTACAGCCCAAGCGCTATAATCTGCATGAATAACTCACGTGCTGCACGGACAACTCATGTGCTATAATAATAAAGTATGATGCAGGCGGGCAGTCCCGATCCACATTCATCCTCACAAATCAGGCCCTCGGCCTCACTCAGTCATAAATATGCTGCAGGCGGGCAGCCCCGATCCACACTCATCCTCACAAATCAGGCCCTCGGCCTCACTCAGTCATAAATATGCTGCAGGCGGGCAGCCCCGATCCACACTCATCCTCACAAATCAGGCCCTCAGCCGATATCAAACATGTTGCGGCGTGCAGTCCGATCCCATAAATATGCAACATAAATCAGGCCCTCGGCCTCACTCAGTCATAAATCTCTCAATCCACTCGGGCATCTCAGTAAAACAGGGCATTCGGCCCAAAACATTTATATGCATCAAAATAGAGTCATAAAACTGAGTTATGATATGCAATGAAATGAATATGATTGAGTATGAATTTTCAATTTAACACAATAATTCACAGCAATATGACCTATGTGGATCCCAATAATACTGGAACATAGCCTCAACATGATTTTTAATATGCTTTTCAGCTCAATTTCTTTAACACATAAAACTGCATGGAAAATGCCAAGATTATTTAACTATAAAATTCCACATAAACAATTATGTCATAATTTCTATAGTGCACGCCCGTCACCTAGCATGTGCGTCACCTCCTAATAATTCACAAAATACATATATTCAGGGTTCATACCCTCAACTCCAAGATTAGAAGAGTTACTTACCTCGAACAAGCCGAATTCAATGTCGAGAAAGCTAAACAATGCTCTAGAAATCCCATTATGCGTGTATCAACTCCCGAACGGCTCGAATCTACCACAATTAATTTGATTCAGCCCACAAAATTTATAGGAATTAATTCCATATCAAAATACTAATATTTTCACAAAATCCGAAATTACGCCCCAAAATCACATGTGGGGCCCACGTCTCGGAATATGATAAACTCACCAAATCCGAACCCCCATTCAACCACTAGTCCAACCATACCAAAATTACTCAAATCCGATCACAACTCGGCCTTCAAATCCTCAATTTAAACTAAGAGAGTTTTCAAACTTTTCCAACTTATTTCACCAATTAAATGATAAAAACAACCATGAATTCGGGTAATTTAACCAATATTGAGTTAAGAACACTTACCCCATTGTTTCCTCTGAAAATCTCCCAACAATTGCCTCAATCCGAGCTCCAAATCGTTAAAAATGAAAAAGTCCCATTTTCTGAACTTAAACTTTCTGTCCAGACCTCTCTTCTTCGCGAACGCGACAGGTCCCTCGCGTTCGCGAAGCACAAAATGTGCTTCCCAACATTTGCTCTTCGCGAATGCGAGACACTGTTCGCGAACGTGATGCTTTACGGAGCCCTTCTTCGCGAACGCGAAGGCAAAAGTCCATGCCCACTATGTTTCCCTTCGCGAACGCGATACCCCATACGCGAATGCGATGCACAACCCAGCTTCTCTTTGCGAACGCGAGAGCTACTCGCGAACACGAAGATTAAATCTTGCCTGCCACAAATTCCTCTTCGCGAACACGAGGGCCCACTCGCGAACGCGAAAGAGAAAATACGAAAAATGCAGCAACAGACATCAGTAATCTCACCAAGGCCAAAAATGATCTGTTAACCATCCAAAACTCACCCGAGCCCTTCGGGAGCTCAACCAAATATACCAACAAGTCCTAAAATATTATACGGACTTAGTGGAACCCTCAAATCACCTCAAACAACATTAAAACCATGAATTACACCCCAATTCAAGCCTAATGAACTTTGAAATTTCTAGTTTCTGCAAACGACTCCGGAACCTATTAATTCACGTTCGATTAACCTCAAATTTTGCACACAAGTAATAAACGACATAACTGAGCTATGAAAAATTTCAGAACTGGATTCCAACCTCCATATCAAAAAGACAACCCCCCGGTCAAACTTCCCAAAAATTTAACTTTCGAGAACTCAAGCCAAATTCCACTACGGACCTCCAAATAATTTTTCGGACACGCTCCTAAATCCAAAATCACCATACGGAGCTATTGAAATCATCAGAATTAAATTCTGAGGTCATTTACACATAAGTCGATAATCGGTCACTATTTTAACTTAAGCTTTAAACCTTGGAACTAAGTATTCCAATTCATTCCAAAACCTCACCGGGCCCGAACCAATTATCCCGGCAATTCACACAACAACTGTAAAGTACAATTTGAGCAGTAAAGGGGGAAGCGGGGTTGTAATACTCAGAACGACCGGCCGAGTCGTTACATATATAAAGTAATATATCATGTTGTATATGCATTATGTATTGATATATATTCAAGAGATTGTACTGTATGTGATGTACACTTTGTATTCAGATGTATTCGAATATATTTATATTATGCTGTATGTGTACTACATTTTGATTCATAAGTATTCAAATATTTCCAGATTGTATTGTTTGTGTAAGTCATTTTGTATTGATATGTATTCAGCATATTGTAATTATGTATTCAGATTTAACTGCACATGTATGTATTCATATTTATTTAAAATATAAATGCAATATGTATTCAGCAGTTTACTAAATTATATTCAGCAGAATGTATTCACGCAATAATCCAATACACCAACTAACTATATCCAGAATGTAATCACGCAAAAATCCAAATACACCAACTAATCAATATGTATTATTTCAAAATGTCACCGAAATCTATGACACATCGTTATAGCACTAATACAAGTCAGAATGTGAACTAAGTCCTACGTGGAGCATTTCTACAAGTACGCTTATTATGTCCTCTCTGCCCACATATGCTACATGAATGTTGATTTTTCTTCTGCAACAATTCACTGAGCGGCTTATCGCGCTTCTTCTTTGGCCTTTCAGGAGGTCTTTTCCATTTGGGTGGTAAGACAACTTCCTGTGATATATGTGCTGGTATATTCCATTTATTTTGATCCGGTAGCGGATACACGGGCACCTCGTATGTCATTACAACAGACTTTGGTTTGTAATAGTCAGAGCAATAATCTTCTGGCATTAGAAACTTGCTCTTCAAGACAGCTCAAGCGTGTGGGCATGGTAATTCATCAACTTGGAACCGCCCACAACTGCATTTTCTCTCTAAGAGGCACACGGTGTAATGCCTTCCTTCATCGTTCACCATATGCAAGTATTCAATCGATGGTACCACCTACATTTAAACATAGGCCTAGAAGTTTTGAACATTTTTAAAAAAAATCATATATATATCAAAGAATAGACGTATTAATTACAGTATAGATATATACAATTAAAATATAATTTAAATATACAACAGTAAATTTTTATTTATCTTTCAGAATCATCATATATATTTATTTCAAACAAATATGTATTTAATACAAATATATATGTATATATAAAATACAAAGACATACAGTTGTATACAATGAAATACATTGAATACAGTGGAATATATTTTATATGTAGGCTGGCAGAATATTAAAGATGATGACATCTTAACTGATGAATACAGTGATATACAGTAACTATCTGCTTATGAAATGCATATGGTTAGAAACAAAACCATTAAATTCAACTAACGATACAATGAGCATATGGACTGTATTTCGAATAGTAGAAATTGTATCAGAAATAAATACACCTTGTACCAGGGTTAAATATATGATACAATGACTTAAAAAAAAACTTACAGTCATGCATGTAGACATTGCCTCATTCAAAGTAAGCATCTCCTGGTATTTTTTTCCAAGCGTTGTGTATGTAGGTGAAGCTTCTTTCCGATTGCTGCAATTCCAACGTCCAAACATCTTCCTAACTTCTTCGAGCAATTCCCTTGCTGACACAAGTGCGGCATTGATTGACTTAGTAATATTTGACGTCATGGTCTATCCCCTATTAACAGGTGCATACAACCTAGCCCACTTTTTGTATCCAGCTAATTCCAAGTATTCTTTCACCCTAATATCTACCTTCTCCACCTTCTCCATTAGACCGTCAAATTCAGCATGTGTGTATGCTTTTGCCATCGAGAAGTATATCTCGCTCAACTTTGAATGACTCTTTTTAAATTTTTTATATACGTTGTTCCATAGATGCCATATACAAGTAAAATATGGTACCGCTGGATACACTCTCGATACAGATTTGATGATACTCTCACTCTTATCTGAAACGATGCACATGTTTTCCCTCTCACCATATGCTTCCTTGAATTGTTCAAAGAACCACGGCCAAGCAGCATCGTTCTCTGAATCAATAACACCATATGCTGGTGGCAGTATATGACCTGTAAAAATAATTGCATACATATTAAAAATATGTATTTCAATCTTTAATAGGCAGTAAGATTAACAAATTTTATTACAATCTCCATACTCACCTGCACCATCCAACGTATTGGTTGAGATGAATGTCCCGGTGTAATATGATTTTAGGTGGCTTCCATCCACAATCACAATGGGTATACAATGATCGAACCCTTTTATAAAGGCATACAAAGATATATACACATACATGAACTCATATTTTGGCGATTTTACCATTCTAATGTGCGAACCAGGATATGTCATATCCATTGTATATAAGTACCCTAGTAATTTATTGTATGAATCAGCCTGTTCGCCTCTCAAAAAATTTATTGCCTTTTCTTTAGCCCGCCACGCCAACATGTAACTAACATCTACACCCAAATCTGATTTCACATCATCAATTATATCCTTTGGGGTGTATTTTCTCTTATGATTAGTAAGCTCGGACCTAATCATACCACCGATAAGACTACTACTTGCTTGACGTTGCTCATACACCTTATTCTTCAACGGACATGTATGCTTATCATTGAACTCTCTCACTTTGAACATTTGTGATTTGTTAATGCTAGAAGCCTTAAACCTCCATTCACAATCATTTGACATGCATAATAATGTATAGCTGCAAATAATGTTTCCTCAATATATACGATGAGTATAAATGATTAACAATTCACTAATATATATGCGAATACATTGTTACATATATATATATATATATATATATACACACACACACATTATTATAAAATACACACATATACATGTGAATAAGACTGTAATTATATATATACATTTAAATATGTATAAATATATCTAAAAACAAACAGCGAAAGCCACTGTAATATCTATTTTATCAATAAAATATAGATGAATACATGTGTTCGAAATACATAGGTACACCAATGAAAGTCATGTAAATACATCCAAGCATATCTGAATACATCTAAATACAATTTAAAAATTCTACCATGAATACAATATATAAAAAATCTCAAAATACACACAAGTATACATGTGAGTACGGCTGTAATTATATATATACAATTAAATACGTATAAATACATCCAAGAACAACCAGTGAAAGTCACTGTAATAAATATTCATCAGTAAAATACAGATGAATACATGTATTTGAAAGTCACATTAATAATTATTATATGTTTAATATTTGAAAGTGATGTAAATACATCCAAACAAATCTAAATACATCTAAATACAATTTAAAAATTCTGACATGGAAACAATATACAATTTCACATTCAATATACATAACCATACATTTGAATATAATATGATGTTTAACAAGTTGCAGCTAAGAACGCTCAAACCTGATAGCATTAGACCTATCAACCCGGAATTAAAATCTTTCACATATTGCATAATGCTCCATCACCTGTTTCAATGTAGCTTTATCCTTATATACTTGTCCAGCCATAACCTCGCTTTGATTTGTTTTTGAAATAATCAAATTCGTATCCAATTCGAACACCTCAATTGATTCTCCTGAATTGACAGACTCAATAGCAAGTGTATCATCTGTATCAAAATTACACCTTTGATTTGCTTCATCAATTTGCACAATGTCGCCTTGAATTAAACTACCTCCAGCTACAACTTATTTGTCAATTGTTGTTATGCACAAAGGATACATTCTGAATTCTCTGTTCACTTTTTTCAACTCTACATACACCATGTAACCCATGTCGTTATGTATTTCCATTAGCGTGCAATTTCTATCTATTTTGTATTCGATTTTGATTGACTTTGAGCGCAAATCTATGTCGAATTGTTTCGAAATTGAAGCAACCAAATCATTGTACGAGGCATACCCCTTTATCAGTATCCCCTCAATCGAATAATCGACATAGTTGCTCTCACTGTCCCACTTACCAGAATGACGCAGTAGCACGGTTAAACTTGCCATATGTAAAATCGAATTATACCGATTTCTGTATATAATTGTATGAATCTTGAATTTTATTGGTTGAAAACAGAAACACCCAAGAACGATATCAACAGAAAAAGGGAAGGATTAGAAACTCGGCGATTGCTCTGTTTTGTTGTATTTATCGTGTGAGAAAAATATTCAGCATATTCGTGTCAAATACAGATTATGGGTGATGTAATTGAGTTAATTGAGTTATATTAGGAGTCTATTATGTTAATTGATTCACTTTCCGTTTAAAAACAGCTGAATAGACCATGAATTGTGCTATTTACGTTACTGTATTCACAAATATATATCGTGAATACAATCGAATACAATAATTGTCTAGCTGGAATCCCCTGTTTCACGCCGATTTTTGCTACTGTATTCTCGAATACACTCTAAAAAACTGAAAACATAGCTATAGGAAGTAATATAGTAAATGGTAGCTACAACTAGTTAATAACCACTAAACAATAGTGGTTTGTGAAATTTTCTCATCTTAAATTCCGTACTCAGTCAAACATATATCACATAAATTAAAATGGAGAGAATATGTCTTTCTTTTAGGTTAGACTTTGATGTTATTGTACTAAAACATAATATTCAATTCATAAAAAATGGTGAAGCAGAAGAGATATTGCAATATTACCGGGGTAAATACTTGTTTGCACCTGAGTATTTGCATTAAAATATACTAATTTATCCTTGCTGAGTTGATTAATGTAAAAATATGTAATTAACTATGACTCAGTGGTAACCATATTTGTGAAAACAAGTGTAGGGATGTTCACAAAAAAAAAAAAAAAAAAAAAAAAAACCCNAAAAAAAATTTCCTAAGGGAAGAACAAATCAGATAATGAGAGATTCTCCAATTACAAGAGGCCAAAAGCTGAATCTAACAAAAAAAAAAAAAAAAAAAAAAAAAAAAAGCCCGAACCAAAATCAAATCCAAAAAATCTATAATTTGGGTTTGATTTTTAATTTTAAAATTCGACAAAATCTAGTTATGTTTTTATTTTAAGTAAAATATAATTAAAAAAAATAAACAAAACCAACTATATAAATATTACTGTAAAAGTTATAATTATATCCTATATATGCATGAATAATTCTCTCTATATATATATATATATGATTTTTTTATGGTATATGTTTTGTTTTTCAAAGTAGTATTATTTAGAGAATAATGGGTCTAAGTTAACAAGAATATACAAACAATAGAAATTGTCGATAGACCTTCCGCCCTTCAGTCTATAGTATTTTTTATTCACGACTTACGACTACTTGTTTGGATGGTTGTTACCTGTTGTGTTGTGTTGTACGTATACTTATTTTAAATACAATATTTGTTTTGATTGTTACTTAAATTTTATTGTATTGTATCGTTAAATCTGTCGTTATGTAACGATGAAAAGTGTCACTTTATGGAATGACAAATTTGGTGTGATCGCACCGTTACCTTTTTTCTCATCTTGCCCTTCCTTATTATTAAGTAATCATATTTTATCATTTATCCTACTTTTTATATAACTAGTGTTAGTGTACGCGCTTTGCGCGTGTACCTAACTCAATAAAAATTTATTTAAAATTTATCTTTGAATTATAAAATAAAAATATAAGTTCTTAAAAATAATGAATGTTGGTCGTATATAACTAATAAAAAATAAAACTGGTCTACGGAAATACTCAATATTCAACTTAAAATGCATTTCAAAGAATGACTTAAGTTAGAAACTTAGAATAGAAAGTGTTTATTTAATTTGAAAGTATTATTATTTAAGTGAGATTAGTATTTAAATAATATTAATTAGCTAGCTCATACCAAATTTTAGGTATTTAATTGCAACTATATTTTTATTCGATAAGAATTCTTTCTCAAATAGTAAAACAATTAGGTGAAAAATCATTCATGCATGACGTGTTCCAAAAAAAAGCAAATTAAATTCTTTGTAAATCTAAAAAATTTAAGAATCACTTTATATCATAAATAAGGCCTGCAATTGAAATGCCCTTTTAGAAGCCATAATTATAGTCAAGAAACTCGCTTATATTCAGCTAAATTTAATATAATCTAGAAAAGTTAAAAGATCTCATAAATTATCTTGTTGGAATAATTGATAATTTTGGAGTTTGTTATTGATTTCGGCTCAATATTCCAAATAATTGTAATTGCTAATTTAAAAGCTTTGAAAACTAAAATTATAATATAGAATACTATTATTAGTGGAATAGACTTCTATATATTTTTAAATATTCTAATATATAAGAGTTTAGTATAAATCAGAACGTATAAAGGTTAAAAAATTGGACCACTCCATGTTATCCAAAGCCAAACTCATTTCCTCTTTCTTTAATGTTCTTATTCTCTCCTTTATTTATTTTATTTATTATTTATAAATTATAAATAATTTAAGTGTACAATTTATATAAGGTAAAATATTAATAATTTTAAAGTTCTAAATGTAAGAATAGTTAATACAGTTCAAATAAGGAAAAAAATTATTATACAAACTCCTAAATGTTAGGGAATTAATTAAATGACTATTTTTTTAATATTAGAAAAATAAACAAATGACTATTTTATCCAGTGTGATCTCTATTTTTAAAGGGTAAAAAAGGCGAACGACATTTCGCTAAGGGC